TCTAATGAAAATACACCTGCACTGAACTGGCCTGGGGAAATATGGGATTTCTACATCCGACAGAATTTAGTTCAATTTTTCCAGAACATCATTTACCTGCCCTAACTTTCTCTGCTTGCGATTCCTCCTCCTGTGTTACATAAACCTTGCCTCATTTAAATGGCAAAACCAAAACACAGCCAAAAGTCTCCTTTAATAGATAAGTGGACTGGAGTTGGAAGTATAAAAGCTAAAAGAGGCAGCCTAGAGAAAAATTCTGCATTGATAAAAAAGACCTTTCCTCCTTCTTTGTGATCTAAAAACCCCAAAAGTTACTTTTGAAATACCTTGTTCAAGCAACAACAGAACAGCTGAGGCCCAAGAGTTGCTTACCCCCCACTCACATTCAGAAGCTTATTGCCTTTTCATCAAGGAATAAACCATCTCCAATTACTATAAGCTAACGTGTTATTCAAGGATAAATGCATGCAGGCTCTTGTCCCATACTAAAAGGCAGGCAATTCAAGTAGCTTACATCTGATTCTAATTACATGAATGTTTTAAAAATCTGTACTCTGTCTGGACGTGAGATCCTGCCTTCATTCCTCACTCTGCTATTGAGCCTGTACCCTTCACTTCCACCTCCCAGCAGCATTCACACTGGGACAGAAAGAGAGGAAGACACCTGCAATGAATTCCACCAACGTTTTTGTTTTTTTTTTTTTTAAGGCAAACCAAAATGCTCCAAGAAGTACAAGAAAAACATGACAGAGTTTTCCTTACCTGACAAAAATTCCAATTTTTAATTCTCCTTTTATGCTTTGTTTATTCTGAAGCCTTCTCGAATATCAGTTTTTTAAAAATCATATAGCTATCTTTATTCTTTTGGGAAGAGGGCTGGAGCACCTCTCCTATGAAGGAAGGTTGAAGGAAATGGGCTTGTTTAGCTTGGAGAAGAGAAGGCTCTGGGGAGACCTCATTGCAGCCTTCCAATATTTCAAGGGAGCGTATGAACAAGGGGGGGAACGGCTGTTTACAAGGGTAGACAGTGATAGGATGAGGGGGAATGGTTTTAAACGAAGACAAGGGAGGCTTAGGTTAGATATTAGGAGGAAGTTTTTCACTGGACACACTGGAACAGGTTGCCCAAGGAGGCTGTGGATGCCCCATCCCTGCAGGCATTCAAGGCCAGGCTGGATGTGGCTCTGGGCAGCCTGGTCTGCTGGTTGGTGACCCTGCACATAGCAGGGGGGTTGAAACTCGATGATCACCGTGATCCTTTTCAACCCAGGCCGTTCTGTAATTCTATGAAATAAGGAAATTAAGTAGTGATGAAAATCCATTTACAGTAGTTTTCCTCATCATCTCATGCACACTCTGTTTAAAGGTTGTCGGGTGAGGTTAGAGTTGTTTCACACTGGAGTATCTAATACAACAGGACACAACCTGCAGTGAAGACCTGCATATGAAGGCAACACAGTAAGTGTATGCAGGCCGTGCAACGACCACTAGGTGCAACACCATTTGCCTAATTTGAGTGCAACTGCAAGCAGTACCCAAGGGAACAATACAGTCAATGCAATATCACCAACTAAACGTTCTTCTACTTAATGAAAAAGAGATAAGAGACCACCACAGACCTCCACTACCTTTGCCACCTTCTGAACAGACCAGCAAAAATGGTTAAATTCTAGCGTGATTCTTTTGAACGACTCTCAAGTAGGAAATAAGAGGGTAAGTCCTAAATGTGACCATAGCATCACTCTTCAATATTTCCAGTCTCAAAGCTGAGCTGCCTGAAAAACAGATGCATTGATAAACTGCGTGCTATCACTGTTAGTATGACTGCTTGGGATTAGCATGTTTGTAATTCTGTCATTACAAACAAGTTGCAAGGCTTCCCCCCCACATATTGATTTGAACCATTTGCTGTACAGCTTGCAGACCAGAGGCACTCCTGCTAAAGGTCTCATTAAGTGCCCTGCTTTTACACTCCCAATTAGAAGTGATTACGCCCACTGCAGCTGGCTGAATGACTGCCACTGATTGCAAAGTGCAGACTGCTCTGGTCTCAGGTTCCTGCCTGGTCCAACAAAGAATATGTAAGACAAAGAAAAGTCACAGCATCCTTCATATAACCAAAACCAAGAAAAAAAAAAAAGCACCTATTTAGTACACACTTAATACGACAATAATAGTAATAAATAAGAGAAATCTTACATGTCTTCATGGATTCATACAGGGCAATGCACATATTGAGGTAAACGAGAATAGTCATGCATGTGGAGTTATAAATGCGTGCCAATTTTTCCCAATTTTCAGTTCAACAGCCTGGTAACTATTGCTGGGATTAACTGCATGAATAAATATGCCTGCTGACAGTGACTAAGGTAACATTTCAGCATTTTTACTGATGTTCTGTGCTTCTGTGAAAGATGACGGGTCACTTGGGGATTCAGTCTTACCAAAACTTTCAGCTCATCAACTACACTGCAGCTCTGCAATTAAAACTCAAGAAAATCAATTCACCATTTTCAAGATTCACGGACATTTCACAGGTGACCACATCACCACAGCCCTTTTCCTTCCCCAAGACCTCCTTAATTTGACAATGTACATTTTTAATCAGCCAGACAACATGTGTTTAGATGTCATTAAGACAGTAATGGGTCCTCAGACACATCTTGAAAACAAAGATTTTGTCGTGGGCAGCATCTGGCCCTCAAAATCCTTTTTTTCTCATGTACAACACAGAACACAAGAACGTAGTTAACTTTTACATCCAAAAAATGTCAATTTGAATCCACAGTTGTTACTGCTTTTGTTTGCTTGTTGTAAATCCTGTGAGTCCTATGTTCATCGCCTCTAACATAGTTATTTCTGTGCAGAAACCTCATGGTATCTGTGTACGCACACTTGATTTATACGTGCATTTCACTGTTCTTGCCTACACACAACATGCTATGCCTGACTGCACACTGACTGCAAAGGATGAGCTGTGGTTAGCAAAGAAGGCTAAAATGCACCGATGACAATGAGACAAAGAAAGTGGAAGATTATTTCCATATCCCCCCCCTGTTCTAAGTTTGTTTTATGCTGCAGCATTATTTCTCAACATAATTATCTTTTCCTGCTTTCTTTTTATAAGCCAGTGAGGTTATATTACCAGATAGATGTAATTGTCCTAACTTACTCAAGAAGCCAAGTGAGAATAACAGAGCAAAACAGAGCCAGGGACAGTGTATCAGCTCTGAAACTTATGCATGTGATTTCCATGACAACAGAGACCCAAATACCTCGTAGGACCACGTAAAGAAAGAGCAGTGACTTTTTAAGAACTGCATTTAGAAATGCTTCATGATAACATGAAGAAGAGAGGGGAAGAGAAAGTACTTGTAAGGTCTGCAGAGAAAGGAGACGAGAACCCCTGATATTCATTTTACAATAAAACTGGGATTTAGGGCATCATCAGATACACTCAGCTGTCTTCTTTGCATATCAGTTCCTATATATCCTCATAAGCCTTCCTGCTACCTTCAGACATTTGTACCTGATTCCTCCAAGTTTAATAAGAGCATCTTTGTCAAGAAGTGCTGTAAGTACTGTTCTGGCATTTTCAATTCCTCACTGAAAGAAATAGTGAGGCACACAAGAGAAGAAGCATTAGGATTGTAGTGCCGCTGTTTGCAAATGAAACAAATCTTTATATATATGAAAAAAAAAAGGAAAATACAAGGAAATAAGGAAAAAAAAAATATACCTCAGGGGGCTGAAAAGACCTACCTGCTTCCCTTCCTAGAATCTTGAATACCATAGGAATCAAAAAGAGAAAAAAAAGAAGAATGTAACCATGTGTTCTCACCCAGATTTGAGCTGTGACTGCAGGGTGAGCTTTGTCAAACCATAGCGATACCTTCCTGAAATAGAAGGGAAGCAACCCAAGAAGCTCTTCTGAACTCTTCCTCCCTGCTATAGGCAGGGACACCTCTCACCAGACCAGGTTGCTCCAGCCCCATCCAGCCTGGCCTTCAATGCTTCCAGAGAGGGAGTATCCACAACCTCACTGGGCAACCTGTTCCAGCGTCTCACCACACTCACAGTAAAGAATTTCTCCCCAATATCTAACCTAAATCTACTCTCTTACTGTTTAAAACCATTTCTACTTGTCCTGTCATGACCTGCCCTTAAAAAATCCCTCCCCAGCTTTTCTGTAGACCCCCTTCAGGTACTGGAAGGCTATAAGGTCCCCTCTAAGCCTTCTCCAGGCTGAAGAGCCCCAGATCTCTCTGGGATGATCATGTTTTCCTCCTTCCAGTAACTTAAAAGAGAAAATTTACTCAGAAATACTGTTAAGCACTGACATTTCAGTGTATGAAGAACCAGATCACACCACCCACAGACTGAAAAAACCCCACCTAATGTAGCAAATAAGTAAATATTCTGAATTCCCAGAGCTGCATAGTTTGTTCAAGTTTAAGGATTTGAGTCCAAACTGCTCTAAAAGGTAACCCCCCAGTTTTATTCTGAGCCTCCCAGTCTAAAGTCAATTCAATATTTTAAGAGTATAAAATGGATGTTTAGGTGCTTAATTTATATAAATGTTACCATTCAAGTTTTACTCATCAAGAAGACAAACCTTAAGAAGATACTTAAATCAACAACATAACCTAAATAACACGTCTGGTAAAAACATTCCATGGTTGTAGTAAAATCACCTGCTTATTTACACTTGCAAAAGAAATAAACTCAACAATTTAATAAAGCACTAAACACAGAAAATCAGACAGACAGCAGTAAATTTCATCCAAAAATGAGACAACACCTGCAGAGTTACCAGAAAAGATCGCCCATCGCTGCTCAGGGAGAAAGGCACCACTGTGGGTTCCCTTTCTTACTTTACATATGAACCTTAAATTCTACGAATTTTTTGTTTCTGGAACACTACATCATGCACATAAACAAAGCAAGAATCTTCCAAACAGATGGCAGCAAAACAGAAAGTAAATGATAACTCAGTATACCTGCTGATAGAAAAAATGTAAAGTTGGTTTGTCCTCAGTGAACTGGTTTAGAAATCCTTTGGGCAGGTATCGAATTCTCAGTTCGTATCTGAAAAACAAGAAAGAGAATTAAACTGGTGAGACAAATAATATCAAAGAGTTCACTGCAACTACAGACAGTCTTCAAATGTTGTACAAAATACAGATAAAATCAACACAAACACTGAAAACTAAGTAAAAATTCTATTGTTTGACCACTCGGAACACTAAATCAGAGAGCACCATTCCAGAGTACCTGACATTTCATAAACACGTTTTCAAATGACCTATACATAAAAACAAACATAAAACCCTCATGCTTCCCAAAGCTTCACTGAGGACTGAAGCGTTAGAACCCAGAGCAGATAAGGTGCAGACCCATTGGAAAGGTGCCCTCTGTGAGGTGATGACAGCATGTGACCTGCCATAGCCATAAGTGTGACTGCCTGGCCTTTTCCTTTGCATGACATCCCTGTACAGATCTCACTGCTCCAAGGGAAAGTGGCAGCAGGGAGCCACATCCTACAGAAAACAACAGGGGCACAGAAAACAACATCTGTAAAACAATCTAAGGCTGTAGGTTATAAAAGAGATGGAGAATGAAGCCAGGCATAAATGAAAAAACAAGTCAAAATCCCATTTAATGAGAGCCATTTTTTTGAGAGCTGTCTTGAGAAGGTGCACAGGATCACCCGTTATTGCTGGCCTGTGTTTCCATTTCATGACTGTCACCTTGGTCCTTTTACAATGACTGATAGGGGGTATTTCCTTTATTCACCTCAACTTAAACTTTAATCCAAACTGTACCCATTCAGTGGCACTGTCTTTAAGATGATAAAGCTCGTGGGCAGAGGCACTTTTCTTCCCAGCCTGTTTAGAGAGTGGCTGGTTGGGTGTCTGGCAGAAGCCAGCATCACCTACGACAAGTGCTTGATCAAGGGAACCTCCAACTGCCTGGAAGGGGAATATTATGATAGTACACATGTTTGGGACAACTTATTTAATAATGAAGTCTGAAGGTAGGGTTGAATTATCACAAATGAATAAGAACTCTTTATTTGGTCATCCAAAGTATAAAGAACAAACTGATTAAACGCTTAAGTCACTCTGTACCATCTCTTCTATCTTTCTGTTGTCTTGCAAGCAAAAACCAGAGATCGTTCAGGTCCCATGAGATGCATACAGAACTTATCTCAGATCTCCAAAGAAACACATGCTGACTCTGTCGTCTTGATAAGGAGATGAGAAAATATGGGAAAAGCAGTATTTCCTGTACAGAACTTGATCTGCTTCACTAAGGAGACATGAGAAGCACTGCTTTTTGCAACAGGATCTCATGAGAAAAATAAGGCAAGGTAAAAAGCTTGGCTGGGACAGCTACAGTGACCTTCATTACCTATTTATGAAGAAATCTCTGATTACACTTATGGGAATGAAGAAGACAATTTCCACAGGCCAATTCAAGGATGAGCTTGAATTTCCATATCCTCTAAACATACTTTTTGAAACGTGGCCAACCCAAGAGAGAAGTCCCTTCCCACAATATGGATCTGCTTGCTGAGCAAGTCATTGATGTCTACCTCCCTTAAGTCTGATAAGAACACTATTCAGAAGACTACAATTCTAGTTGCTGCTCTCTATCTGTGTTGGGGTACAGGTGCTTCTATGCACACACTGTCTTCCACTCTAACCTTCAGAACAATGGGCACCAGAATGAAAAAGTTGTATGGTTTAAGTAAGCACAGCATACACTGCTGAGTAGTTCCAGGAGCTTCTCTTGGAAAAAACAAGCACTACCTGGGCAGAAGTTGGAGGTGAAAGGATGATCCAAGTCTTCGTACCTCAGGGGCAGCAGAATAAATAATTAGACCTATCCCAACCACGTAATTTAGTTCCAGCAGGATCTGATTCAGTTTGCATCAGCAGAAAAGTAACCAGAAAAGAGAAGATGGGAACAAATAGGGTGGACACAAATGGGATAAAATAGCGTTGTGTGAGATTAATGAACTGCATCAGGCTGCTGAAGGATTAGCCAAGCATTAAGGCTCATAGAAGAAAAGGCACAGGGTTGGATAACTGAAAGCACGAAAGGGGAGAAGAAAGACTGGGGAGAAGAGAGCTGTGAGGTTATTTGTTGCCTCATTAAATCACACCATGAGTCTTCTGGTCTTTGTGCCAGTGCAGAGGCACCTGTGCTGATACAAGAATTTGTAACACACAACAGCTAAGCAATGGGGCTTCCTTAAGAGTGTCTTTTACCTGTTACAGCTGAAGTATGAATGACATGCAGTTATAAGGACCAGTTTTACCTATGCACCATAACCACAGAACAGGAAGATCTCTGTCCTGTACGGAACACAGTTGTTCCAAGCAATAACATTTGTTACATGAATCTCTCAGCTTTCTCCCTATCGGGCATGGTAAATAGAATGGTGCTTTGGCATATACCATTTTTAAAGGACAGGCAGGATAGCTGCTGTGATTGCTGGTAAAGGCAGAGCCTTATCAAAAATAATCAGGGCCGATGTAATGATTTAATACTCCCAGATCCTGACATTCCTAGTTCAACCTGCCATACAGGAATAAAGAATACATGCCAGAGAGGAAGATTCATTCCTGTTTCACTCTCATGCCCTTCAAAACATCCAATCATTAATATAATACTACAAGTGAAGAGGAATTTCTTCATTAAAAGATGAGTTTAATGCACGCCCAGGTCTGCCTTGCTGACATAAACACTAAGAGGAAACCTGAAGCAAATAAATCAAAGGCACTCCAGTCTTTATTATCTTCACATAAAACACCACTGGGGTTTCATTTGTATTTCAGTTGTTGACTGGGAACATCTTGCAGACACAGGTCTATAGGACTTCATAAAACATAATGCTTAACAAAGAATTAACAATTTATGCTGCAGTAAAATAAACCTGACAGCAGCAGTGTTACCCGAATTCAGCAAACCCTCAAACTGTATTTGGATGACTACAGTTACTCTAAAGCAACTGCATGAAATTATGCTCAAATTATGCAATACTGTTGTAGTGCTAAACCTTGGACATCTCTTTGAGGTAAGACAGTATTACTCAGGACTCCTTTACTTCCACTTACTTTCAGGACTCAAATGTTGCCATCTTGTGCAAAAAGTCTTTTTTTTTTTTTTTTTAAAGCAAGAAAGAGGTTAACATTATATATAAAGCAAACATGAGGGTCGGAAAAGACTTCCAGTAAGCGATAATTTCCTGTTTGTCTTTTGCCACCTAATTGGGTTTATCCACTGGTAGTTTGGCCAAGCTCAAGTTGTGTGTGCCCCTACAACTGAATTTGAAATAACAAATCCGAGTGACTTTGTTGCCCTGATGTCCACTAATATTTACTCTTTCTAGGCTCTAACTACAGCTGTGTCATCCGAAGCAGTCACATCCTTGTGCCATGCCACTAGGCCATCCTCCAAAAGTCTATGAATAGGACAGCACCAGACAAAAGCTGCATACCCTGGAGACAGATTTTACCCTGGTAACCTACGTACATCCCACTGAATCAGTGTAGCTTCCAGCATCTGGATAAATCCAAAAGAACATCTCAGATCTTATTTCTGAGCATCAAATACAAACCCTTTTAATTCAGATGATTAAAAAATTCATAAGAGACATTTATTGGATTATTAATACTATAGGAAGCTTTCAATTTAAGAATCATTCCAAGATGTCTCTCCCTTTACTCATCTAAATATTTTTACAAGTACTGTCATTTGATCTTAAACACTCTTTTATGGTATTACAAATATGACAGCAATGTTTTGATATACACAGCAAATCTCCACGGGTTTAAAAGGTATGTCAGCTGCATGGATCCGATAACACATAAAACGACGCCTCGGAAAGGTACTGAATAATTTACATCTTATCACAGCTCTTTCATGAGTATTTTATACAATTCCTATCCGCAAACTTCAAAACAATCATCTAACTTTGCTTTTAAAACCGATTAACTTTGTTCTGCGATGTGCACAATGTGAGCTGTGCCACGTAATAAGAAATGGAATTGGCACTTGTGCACTACGTGACAAATTTCCACTGCATAAATAATTCACATCTAATACACAGCACGATTGTCGTGGAACTCATTCAGGAATCCCTTACTTCTAAAACTGTATTTCGCAGTATTATCGATGAAAAAGTTCTTGTAAGGAAGGATAAAGGTTGGCGCACACCCCAGAAACAATAAAACTCAACATGTGTAGAAAAGAACTTCCTAAAGTTTCTGGCATTCATGATTTCAACAATTCTAATTCATTTGATATTATAAAGACACTAAAGAGAATTTATAAACTGTGACATCTGCTAGTATAACATGCAAACTCAATTTGCAAAGAATCAAGTATGGACTATTTACAATAATTCTGCAGCAGACAGTATTTTAGCCTTCAAAGTAATATAGCAAGCTAGCACAAATTGTAGTTATGAATGTATTACAGAGAAAAATAGGCACAACCCACCTGCACTGAATCCATAGTAGCACTTCATCTACATTTTGATATTGCCACAAGTCTAACATTACACTCGGTATTTCAGAACTCCCTCTCTTCTCTAGTAACCTACTGCATCCTTCTGCAAACATTTCCTCTCGTTTTTCTGCCAGCAAAGTGGAGAATCTTTCCTGTCTTCCTCTCCAGTCTACATCCTCTCCTGAGCATGCACCCTCACTTTGCTCTTTGTCTCTTTTCAGCTTGCTCTGCTAAAAAGCTGAAGAGAACTCAACCATAAACAGAACACAGCTGGCTGAAAGAAGTGGTATGACCTAACTAGTATGACCTAACTAGCCAATAAGTCAGCAAATGTACCTAGGCTATGAAAATACAAAAAACAGATATATGTGGTTATGCTTCCATTCTTCATTGATCCTAGTATAACTGAAGAAGATCCCAGTTAGAAGAAAAGCAGATGTCACTCATTGCTCCAGGCCTCAATTCCTTATCCAACAAGTAGTTTTATAACTAAAACATTTCAGAACTGCAGATGAATAAACCAACCTACTTCCTTTATTTCATCCTTTCCAAATTTCTCCTGTTTCCAAAACTCTCCTGTTTAGTCTGCATAAATACAGTGAATGTGTAACAGCATCTTCTTGTTTTCAGTTAAGTAATAGCATCTTTAAAAAATTTTAGAGGTGTACATACACCAGAGATAACACCAAGATTCTTGTACTAAAACCTTCAGGACAAAACCTGAGACAGGGTTCACTAAACATAGCCCAAGTTTTGCAGATCTTCAGGACAAGTGCTAGATTTCTGCTCCTACTTTATGTCTCTTCTAAATCCCAGGTTACACTTATGTGTTTTTCTCAGTTTGTAGGAAATCCCTTCCAACAACAAAAAGCATACTTCACCAATTACAGCCCTCTGATGCACCAAGTCTTGTTTTGTTTCTGTTCTACAAGATCTTCCTTAATAAAGGAAATTATAGAGTCAACTTTCATGACAAGGCAAACAGACTCATATGATACGATTTTGACACTGAAGAGATTTATGGTCTTACTTCCATTCTTCTGGAGGATGTGCTAGTTCAAATTTCTCTCTCACATTGGATACTCCCATGTCCAGGTGCAGCCAGTGAACCTCCTCAGACTGCAGATGACTGAGTCGCAACCCATAGCAGGCCACATTTTTCACTTTGTGACTGTCCACAATCTTCTGTATTATGCCCTAAAACAGAGAAACACACTCCTTAAAAGCCAGAAAATGCAATATGTATTTGTAAATAAATTAATTTTGCAGTAAGACTTCAAAATGTGACCATGTCAAACTCTATACAAAACACTAAGCAATAAATCAGACGGCACCTTTATTAAGAATACTAAACAATTTAAACTACTGCTTTGGACAAACATCTATAATTTCTGAAGCTTTACTGGCATAGTTTCAGAAATAATCACATACGTAGGCCTCTATGAATCTTACCACATTTAAGACACCATTCCTTTTATGTAAAGTAACATAATGTAAAAAAGCAAAATATAAAAAACAGATCAGTGGATGAAAGCAAAATATGAAAAAGCAGCACCAGATCTTAAAAAAAAAACAACACTCAATGTACAACTGGAAAAATGTCTTAGATGCACATCTTGCTTAGTGCCTGAATTGCCAGGATTTAGCAGGTCACATCACAGCCTCTTGACATCCCCCACTCATTTTTTCCTGAGCTCCAACAAATCCCATATAAAATGAGGCAAGAGACAATTATTTGGGATTATTAAATTCAAACGTGTTAGTAGATGATGGATTAGCAATCTCTCTAGTGCCATGTGCTGGACTGTTCTGCTCTTACCCAGATTAAAAAGTCAGCAGGGGACCAAAGTTGCTGCCTCACAGCCTGCTAGAGAGTAAGCTGCAGGGCAGCAGAGTCCTGCCAGGGCTGAGCCCCATGCCCAGCAGGAGCACGGGCTATCACTGCTGCCAGATGCTTCTTTCAGGAAATCATTCTATTTCACTTCTGAGCTGGATGCATCCTATTGAAAATGCTCATTACCCATAAACACATACATATAGGTATATACACAAAATGTTGCTTCTTGCACAACGTTTCAGAAAACATCAACACACAGGTAACCAGGAGCCAGATGTTGCCAGATGTGGCTTGACACTGCTTCCCCAAATTGATGAGTTTATATCCCAAAGAAATAATTTAAGACTATGATTCTGCAAATTAAGTATGAAAAAGACTGCAAAGAAAACTAACAAAGCACTCAATCTGAGGAGAGGGGGAAGGTGGTACACGTAGGACTGGAAGCATGCTTTTGGTGAGAGTGAGCTTGCACATATCAAACTGCAACTTCTGAAAAAATGTCCTAGAAGCAATACAGTGCACACTGGAATGTAAAAACAAAACAAAAAAATTGTTGAAAGTCTGTAAGAAGGGGAGACAAGCTGTGTTTAATAAGTTAAGAGTCTGAGTTAGGAGTTGGACCATCAAGCCCAGCACCCAGACCCTGAAGGCATCAGCAAAAGCATCCTTAGCAGTGTCCTTCTCTTCAGCTCCTGCCACAACCACAAGTCCTGCCAAATCCTTGCCTCTACAGGACTTATGCTTGCAGGAAGGTGGACACATGGTTGCAGAGGACTCTATCATCAAGAGGGGAGAACTTAGGAGATACTGTGCAAGTTAGCTTCTTGCAGCCTTCACTAGCAAGTTGTAAAAGTCTCTTGCCAGATCAGGCAGCAGTTTTAGAGCTGAATTAAAGTTATCAATGACAAGGTACAAAAACTGACTAGATTTATAGCTCCTTGTGTTTGTTAGCAAATAAGGCAGAGCAGTTGCCTGTATCCAGGGAAACCTACAACAAAACCAAGAGCTCTCAGAAGTGACAGAGGAAAATTTAACCTATTATTCGCCCAAAGGACAAGCTCTGCTCAGTTTGTGAAGCATACTATTGGCAGGGGTACTTCCAGGTGAAGGGCACATTGCCAGCTTTTCTATACACATGCAGACAACAGGGATTCATACATTTTCATTGCTTACTGATCACTGCAAGAACAGAGTACATAAGGTGCAGGCATTTGTTAATGGAAATCCATCCCTTCCCATGTTTCTTGTGCTTGAAGTCGATAGTGAAAATGGCCGTACAAAAACAGTTATGCCTGCTGTGAGAAGAAATGACTCTCAAATTAAAAAATACATATTTTTTTATGATCATGAACAACCAAGAACACTAATGCATAGGGCAGCTGAGATGATTAGTATCTACACAGAAAAGAATCAAGCTAGATATTTAAGAACCTCTAGTTTTCAGGTTGAGATTTCAAAACAACTTCAGCAGCCACATATTTTAATTCCCAGAAAAAGCAAGCTTCTATGCCTTTCACATCATTAACTGGTTTTAGACCCACTGCAAAATCAAGACAAACATTTAGAATTTGATAATCTATTTCAAGAGGGCAGTATCACAGCAAGCAAACAAATTAGCAGAAGTCTATATTGCAACTCAAGAAAAAGAGATAAGTAGTATTAGTGCAAAGGTGGAGAAGTGTTTGAAAATACCATCTAAAAACTATTATGTATATCCAGAAAAGAAATAGTTATGCTTTACATGAAAAAAACATCCAGTTGCTTCTTTTTCTAGAGAGCTCATTTCAAATGCTAGTAAGTCCTTCTGTACTTGAAGGGAGCATATAAACAGGAGGAGAATGATTGTTTACGAGAGTGGATAGTGACAGGACAAGGGGGAATGGTTTTAAATTGAGACAGGGGAGGTTTAGGTTAGATATTAGGAGAAAGTTTTTCACTCTGAGTGTGGTGAGGCACTGGAACAGGTTGCCCAAGGAGGCTGTGGATGCCCCATCCCTGGAGGCATTCAAGGCCAGGCTGGATGTGGCTCTGGGCAGCCTGGTCTGCTGGTTGGTGACCCTGCACATAGCAGGGGGTTGAAACTGATCATTGTGGTCCTTTTCAATCCAGGCCATTCCATGATTCTATTATTATTTATACATTAGGCAATCTGAATTTTGAACATTTAGAGTCACAGCTGCAATAAGTGTAACCCAGCACTACAACAGTGCTGTTCATTCAGCAACAGAAACACACCGCAACACTGCAGCATGCAAACAGCGTAGTAAGATCCTGAGTAGCACTGCAGCTTTGTTTTCTCTGGCTGCTGTTTCCAAACTGTACAAAAATAATCTCCAAGAGTTGCTTTGGCATCACGGCCATAATTGGGCCAGTGTCTTTAACTCCCATGGTGTAACAAACAAGGCATCCAGCCTTCTGGGCTTCTGACAGCCTTGCAAGCCACGTGGAGAAGCTCACAGTACCAAACAAAGACACCACCATTGCACTTTGGGACCAGTGACAGATCCTCTTGTCTCGCACGGTCACAGTGCGAGGAGCCTTGCCAGGAGCATGCCTGATGTTTTCTCCAGGAGCAGAGCAGAATGCTTGATCAGAAGTTTCCAAAGACAACATTTAACTGTTTAACCACTGCACACAGACAGTAAAATACCCTGCTGAGATAAGAATACTCTGAGTTGAAAGGGACACAGAAGGACTATGAAGTCCAACTCCTTTACACCTAACAACCTTCAGCATCACCAAAGAAAACGGAAACCTCTTCAGATTGGACTGCAAACACCTCTTAGCTCAGGAAGCTCCTCAGAGGCATTCTTCAGTGAAAACTAAACAGGTAAGGAACATCTGGATGACACTGTCAACCTTGGTGACAAACTTAGAGCTTCAAAGCCATCCCAGCTGGAAATCCTGGCAGGAGAGCTGGACTCCAGTGGACATCTACACCAGAATAACATTTTTCTTTGGGCATACACTGGCTATCCATGTGAATATAAATTCTTACCAGTTTTCACCCATCTGTTGTCACACTCATCTAAACACACAGCTGCAGTGAAGTCACACAATCGTATGTAAGCTGGGTGTTGTTTACTGTAATCACATAGTCTTTAATTAGGTTTGCAGAGCCGACATTTACACACCAAACATAAAATAGGCCAGTACAGCTGAGCAGAAGAGAATGGGAAGCCCTTAGAGAAATCTTCTATCAACAACAGGTGATAGGTCATCTGTTCCTTCCCCTTAACTGAAGAGTGGAGGCAAAAAAAAAAATATTAAAGCTTCATAAAGAACCATAAAACTGGATAGCACTGGTTTTCACTTAATCGTTCAAATAACTCACAGTTACTCAACAGGTAATTTGCAAAATAGATTAATATTTGTCCTCAATTAGGAGGTAAAAGCATCCAAGAATAGAATTTAAAGTAAAATACAGTTAGGAAGCTGTTGAAAATCCAGACAGGCCAGAGAAAGGCTGAAAGACACAAAATCACAGAATGGCTTAGGTTGGAGGGAACTTTAAATATCACCTAATTCCAACAGCCTGCCACTGGGAGGGTTGCCAAGCACTAGATCTGCCCAGTATCCAACCCAACCTGGCCCTGCATACCTTCAGAGATGGGGCATGCAAAGCTTCTCTGGGCAAATTTTGCCTCATCATCCTCCAAGTAAAAAAATTTTTCCTAACATCTAACCTAAATCTGCTCTCTTTTGTATTTAAAGCCATTCTCCCTTTTCCTATCACTATAAGACTGTGTAAAAAGTCAGCCCCCCTCCTTGTAAGCTCTAGAAGGCCACAGTGAGGTCTCCCCAGAGCCTTCTCCAAGCTAAACAAGCCCAGTTCCCTCAACCCTTCCCCACAGGAGAGGTGCTCCAATCCTCTGAGCATCTTACTGGCCCTCCTCTGGACCTGCTCCAACAGCTCCACGTCCTTCCTGGATTGAGGACCCCAGGCCTGGACACAGTGCTCCAGTTGGGGCCCCACAAGGGGCAGAGCAGAGGGAGACAATCCCCTTCCTGTTCCCTGCTGGCCATTCTTCTGTTGATGCAGCCCAGGATACTACTGGCCTTTTGGGCTGCAAGAGCACACTGCTGGCTCAGTGTTCATCTTCTCATTTATCAGGACCCCCAAGTCCTTCCCCACAGGGCTGCTCTCAATGAGTTCTCTCAGTCTTTACTTGTAACTGAGTTGCCCTGACCCAAGTGCAACACCTCACATTATGGCCTTGTTAAACCTCATTAGATTCTCATGTGACCACTTTTTAAGTGTGTCAAAGTCCCTCTGGGTAGCATTCTTAACCTTCTGTTGTGTCAGCTGCACCGCTCAGTGTGGTGTCATCAGCAAACTTGCTGAGGGTGCACTCACTGC